GCAGAGACTGCAGGGCAAGTCCAAGTTGAAGAAAGGAGCCTGCGCTCCCCGGAGCGCTCCCTTCCGGCTGGGGGTCCGGCCCGGGGCCGCGGGAGAGCCTGAGCCGCCTGGGTGAAGGCTGGGAGGGACTGCGCCGGCACCCCGCGGAGATTAAACCCACTGCCTGGGTAAGCAGGTAGGATTGATTTTCTATAACTCAAGAGGACAGAAGTAGAACCTGTGAGCGGAAGTTTTAGGGACACAGATATTTGACTTGAAAGAAAGAAAGAAAGAAAGAAAGAGAAAGAAGAAAGAAAGAAAGAAAGAAAAAGAAAGAAAGAAAGAAAAAGAAAGAAAGAAAGAAAGAGAAAGAAAGAAAGAAAGAAAGAAAGAAAGAAAGAAAGAAAGAAAGAAAGAAAGAAAGAAAGAAAATTAACAAAACTGTCCACAAATAGAATGAGCTGCCTTTGTGAGGGATGTAACCCCTAAAAGTGTTCATACCAAGGATGAGGCGGAGCACCGACGTCCGGGGTGCAGTGGGAGGGTCTCTGCATACACCCACCACACAGGGACATCTGTGACTCAGGTTGAGACAACAGCTTGGCCTAAGGGACCATCCTCCTGAGCCAAGTGCCCTCATCTGGGCGCGATTCAGCCCTTGAGGAGAGAGGCGATCATTTCTAAAGCAAAATGCCATTTGGAGTGGTAATTCACCCTGGTGCATTGGGTACAGGAACAAGTGGAAGTCACATCCTTTTAGATTTTGTTGTTTGTATGTTTGAGGTCTGACTATACACCAGTGAGACAGGTGTTGGCATGCTTGAGTGTTGTCCCATCTCAATTGTCCCCTCATTGAGTTCCCGTGAATCACGTCCAGGTGGACAAGGAGAATGTGGGGCACAGCATCCGTGACCATGGTAGTGATTTCAATGCATGGGCACTCTGTGCACCCACCCTCCCCAAGCCTTCCAGGGAGGGTGCCGAGTTTGTAGCCTGACCTTTGCGCTTGCTAAGGGGGTAATAGTAGTAGAGGCTAGGCTCACTTAGAGAATTTGGAGTCCTTTTGGAAGGGTCAGATCCTGGATCCTGGATCCTAGATCCTGGAGTCAGAAGCCTGGGGAGCTGACATGTGTGTGGACCTGTACTCCCCCTCCTGGTGGAGCCTGGAAGCCAACACACCTTGTAGTTGTCCTCGCCTGGCACACAGATCAGAAGCCCCAACACCGCAACTGTTGTACGGTGGGGGGCCCTCAGGTCCTGGCCAGGCCCGGGAGCGCCTGGTTCCGAGCAGTGGAGGCATGAAGACTCCGTGCAGGTGGGGCAGGGGAGATGCAGTATGACCTTCACAGGCTGAGCTCCAAAGCCAGTGGGCATGTTGGGGGAGGCCTGGGTGGGACATGAGCCCGGATGGTGCCTTGACATATTAGCCCCCAGAGCACCTATCTGTGACACGTTTTGACCTTGGCCTCTCTCTGAGGCCAGGGAAGGAGCCCCCTCGGAGCTGGGCTTTTCTCAGGCTATGACAAACGTAAGGACCCCCAGAACAAGCCCGGTGTTTGCAATTGTTCACGTGAGGGTGGTTCCAACACCCTTGTAGAAACTAAGTCCTACAAGAGAAAGGAGAGGGATGCTCCCCACAGTTTTATTTACATACATTTTATTTATTAGAGAGAAGTTGGGAACCCAAGGCAGGACCCCCTGAGTGGGAACAGCACTCCTCAGGAGATGTGGGGGCAGGTCACTGTCTGTGGCTCGTCCCTGGGCCATGAGCACACCAGGCGTGGCTTCCTGGAGAAAGGCCACATTCTCCGAGGTCTGGGCGCTGAGAAAGCAGCCCCATGTCCCCAGGCTGGCCAGGCGCAAGGCCAGGCTCTGGCTCTCTCTGTGAGGGGGCAGCTCTGAAGGGTGGCCGGGCTCCCCTTCGCTGTGTAGGAGGAAAAGCATACCGCTGCCGTGCTGTTCGAGGAGAAAGAAATTTCCTTGGAGGACCTGGATTCCCATTTTAAGGCCCTTGCCTGACAAAGCCTCCAGGGTCACTGACTTGGGGTCACTGACGGGGTCCCGGGGCGAGCAGGCCACAGACACTTTCCCAGGGGCTGGGCAGAAGAGTAGAAATGTGGTGAATTAGAAAGTGCCAGGCTGACAAAAGGCACTCTGTTAATATTTTTTGAGCCTGTGCCAAGAACACCTGTCTGGGAAGGGAATTCTCGGACCACCTCGTTTTAATCCTAATTGTGTAGATGAAGAGTCTTGTGACAGGGAAGTCTGCTCACGGCCGAGTGATTCTAACCAGAGTCTGTCTTTGGCCATGCTAACACTCTCAGTCCATGCCAGGCCTGGTTACCCAGTGGAGGTGCCAGGATGTGTGGGGACGTGGAGCTGTGTATGTGTGACTGAGAAAGGGGGCGCACTAATAAACACTGGGGTGCACACCGAAATAGTAGGTCACGAACTCTGAGCGCATAGGGATGATTTCCCATTTTCTCAATTGTGCCTCCAGAAGTCAGTAAATCAAGGGCACAAGGAGAGACCCTGAGCCCTTGCAGGGGACACATGCCACTGGAGCAGCTTCAGCTAGTGACTTGGTTATCGGTGACATCCCAAACCCTATAGCCCTTTCTCTGCAGGGTCCACACTGCGTGGAGCTCCAGCCGAGCAGCCCGGCCACTCCTGCTAACCACAGGGACCACACCTTTCTCCCAGCCAGTGGACCAAATGTGGGTTGTGCAGATACTAAGATTAGAACAAGAAAGTGTCACGTTTGGAATGCATGTCGCCTAATTCAAACTGGAGACAAGAGGGAGCCGCACCTGTTGGGACCCTGCCCAGACACGGAGCAGGTTTTTATTCTGCTAGTTCTCTCCCATCAAAAGCCTCATGAAGGGCCCTCAGAAGCCTTTGATGTTTGTAAAATCAGCCTTTGCCTCCCCTTTCCACAGGCCTTGAGCATTAGAGCCCCGAGGCCCGGGTTTAGCCCTCCCCGAGAATTCTGTCGGGCTCCTCCATCCCAGGCCATCCCAGTAAAGCACCACATAGGATAAGGGGAAGAGAGCCCCCAGACTCCAAGTAGTCCTTCTGAATGGATCCCCTTTTTGACGATGAGGCGGCACTTCCACATTGTCCTTTTGCTTAGTTCCCCTCCCCACAAAACAGGCCAGGGTGCCCTGTGGACATGGGGAGGAAAAGGGCACACGGAGGGAGGGCACCAGCTGAGTCAACAGGATCAGGCCCATCAGTGAAAATTCCTTTTTTGGAAGCCAGGCAGTCTCTTTCCAGGACTGCAGAATCCTCGGGAAGTGACGCAAGCCCTCAGTCAGGGAGACGCAGGGGCAGCACTCCACTCCTCCGAAGGTGGAAAGACGGCTCAGCGAGTTTCCTCAGTTTCTGGGGTCCTCTCCTTCCTCCCGGAGCACCCGGCCCAGCCCCAGCCCCAGCCCGCGGAGGGCAGGCTTCTCAGCAGAGCTCCTTATATAGGAAACCTTCTATCAGGGAGGCTTTTAGGGGGCAGCCCCGGCACTGCACCTGAGCCTTCTCTGCTGAACAGCCTCTACCACCGCAGCGTCCTAACTCTAGAAGGAGACAGAAGCAGAAGGGGGCAGGGGGGGCTAAAATGCCTGTTTTGTCATGATGCTAAAAGCAGGGGCTGTGTCTTGAGGAATGCTGTGTGGTTCCTTTACTCTTGCCTCTCCTGCCAGGAAAAGCCTCTCCAAGCAGGCAGCTCAGGAATGGAGAGAACCCAGGATGGAGCCGACCACCCAGAAGGTCTCTGGACTGTGTGGGAAGGGCAGCAAGGCCGAGGCCCCCGGGAAAGGCTGGGCCGTGGGCAGGGGCTGCAGAAACAGTGCGGGGCGTTCTTTGCTGGGGTTTCTTTTCACTGAACTGCCTGCCAGGAAAGGAGAAAGGCCTCCAGGGTAACGTCTCCTAAGAGGAAATCACAAATCTGAGTTGGAGGACATTTGTCTCCTGCCATCTTAGGAGACAAATGGTGTTCCCCCTTATTCTAGTAGCAGCGCCCCCGTTTCCTCTGGGGAGCCGCGTTGCCCCCAGCCCACCTGTGCGGTTGGGGCTTACCCTTCTCTGCCTGTCGACCTGGTGTGGGGCCCTACGTGTCACACCCTCGCCCCTGGGCCCCAGGGACCACGTGGCCCCAGGACTTCCTGGCATCTCATTTTCATATGGGGAGGGCCCCCTAAGAGGACGCCAACTCAGAGGGAAGGAGGACCAGGTTTCCTGGCTACCTCACTTGGGGGTCTGTACCCAGCAGTGCCTGCAGCTAGAGCGGCCCTCCGGGCTCACGGCGGCCCGGGCCAGTGCCCTGCCACTCGCACCCAGGGGTCCCACCTGACAACCCCGGTGACATTGGGAACTGAAGACATGGTCCACCAGTGCCATGCATCATCAAGTCTGGGTTTCAAGCAGTTTAGTGGGCGTGCGTGTGTGTGTGTGTGTGTGTGTGTTTAAGCTATAAGCATTGGTTGAAGACCTCCAGAACTTCAGGTTCTTAAGCTTTTGGGTCCCTTTGGGCTCATTCAGGACCTCATTAAAAAAAAAAAAAAAACATGAAAAAACAAAAACACAGGGACGCCTGGCTGGCTCAGTTGGTTAAGTGTCTGCCTTCGGCTCAGGTCATGATCTCAGGGTCCTGGGTCCATTAGTTTGACAAAGACTTAAAAGTGATCATATCTGTTAGCAGAGCACTTCTGGCTAGTTTTGCTTATATATAGAAGTTTTGTTTGTTTGGAACACAAAAGAGACACGAGGGAAGCTTTACCCACATGAAAAGTAGCTCTTGTGATTTGTTTATTGCAGGAGGTGAGGAGCTGAAAGGCCTAATGCATGTTTGTGTTGCTCTGGAGCCACCTTCCCTCCCCCATCAGAGGCCCCTACACTTCTCCTCCCTCCGGGCATCCCGCTGTGCAGCCCCATCTCATGGCCGTCAACTCCTTCTCCTTCCCCTGGGTGCCACCCCTGAGTCCAGGTGACCCGCAGAGTACAAACGCGTGTGATTTAGAACATAAAGCATCTTCAAAATCATCATTCAAGAGGGAATGTTTGGGTCAAGAGCTGCCCGGGTCCCTGCAGCTTGCCTCCTTATCCGCACATGACCCCCCGTCTGGAGGGTGACCTGCGAGGAGCCTGCTCTTCTGTGTCACCCAGCAGTTGGAGCATGTACGAGCCGGTGTAGATGAGCAACTGTCCAGTCACCTGGGCAGCGTGGGACAGGAACCGCAGCAGGCTCCTGCAACAAAGGGGACAAAGATGCACGTCAGGCTAGGTGTTCTGGGCCAGCCAGGGGCAGACACACAGCAATTCCTCACCACCCCCCAAACCTGCGCTCAGAGGAGGCACTGCTCACATTTGATGCTGTAGGGAACCACCCCCCCAAACCCGCCAGGACTGGCTGACATGCAGATGCCGACGCAGGGGGCCTGGGACCACCTTTCCTCTGGCCACTTCCAAACGTGGCCTGTTGCATAGTCATTAGGAAGCACAGAGAAGGCACACAGTGTGTCCTGTCCTTTGGCAGCTTGCTTACCCTAGCCACCTCAGGTGTGTGGGGCCTGTTATTAAAATCAGCCTAGTCAGATGTGAAAGGAGAAGCCAGGCTGAAGGAGAGTGGCCCCATGACCCAGGTGGCTTAGGGTGGCTGGAACATCCCAACTGGGCCCTGTTCTGGCATCTAAGCCCTAGGGCTAAGCCTGGCATTCCCATTATTTCAGACTAAAAAAGGGCATTTTAACTCAAATTCTTACTCTCTACCGAGTCCAAAGCAAAAGGATTTCATTCCAGTTTTGAAAGTTCTGTCACTTCACCAGGTCTGGGGGTCAGCCATGCCGCTCCGGAGAGCCCCCTGCCCCCGGGGTCCCACGACAGGACCCTGGTGTGATGCTTTCGATGTGGGGACCTGGATGACTTCTGTGGCTGCTTGTGGGGCCATCAGATCGCAGATGGTAAGAATTAGGGACAAGAAGGCCAAATTTGCCTCTCAAGAAAGATTTTGCTGAGGCGGGATTTGGGATGAGGTTTACTTTCTTCATTATACTTTTCTACGCTGGTATAACTCTCCTGTCTCACTTCAGGAAAATCAAGCAATCAAGCTATTTTCTCCCATCTCAGCCAAAGGAGGAAGCTCTCCCAGGAGTCAAGATTTCAACACAGGGACAGCAACAGCTGTCTATGAGTTGGCCATTAATGGGTCTGAGTGGGAAACAGAGGCCGCCGGGAAGGACTGCGGGAGCCAACTCTGTGCTGGGGCCCGTGGCCCCCTCAGAGGAGACCAGTCTCATTTCCAGAGCATTTCCTGCCCTGCACTTGGCCTCAGGGATGACCAGAGTGGTCCCTATGGGGCCAGTGGAGAGAAGGAGCCAGGGACCTCTGAGAAGCAGGGGCCCCTGCCCGGAGGGGCTGTGCAGGGAGCACCGGTTTGTCAGCTCGAAACCTTTTTAGACTGGTTTCAAAGACCTTCTCTGCTGTCGGTCTCTCCTTCTCCATCCATCCCTCCATGGGAATTAGGTACTAGAGGATCAATCTGTCTTTACTAGAGGACAGAAGTAGGTGTGTTTAGAGCCCAGGCAATCATAAAGAACTTGGAAGCAGACTTGTCATTTTAAAGATGATGGAACTGAGGCTCAGAGAGGTTAAGCAGCATGTTAAAGGTCCCACAGCCGGCTGCTCAGAGGCAAGGCTGGGAGGGACTGCAGGGGGCCCTCTCATGCGGGCAGCGGGGGGTGACTGTCCAGCCTGGTCACAACCAGAGTGTTCCTGGGGGATACACAGAATGTGTTCAGATAGAGCCAGAGTACGGATTGGGGATCTGTCTTGTACAGGCTCCCCCGGGGGCCGTGCAGTCAGCCTGGCCCCAGCCTGTGGGGTGCCGGTGCCCTGGCAATGTATGGAAAAGGAACATTCCAGTGCCGCCTGGCTGGAGCTTCAAGCCGGCAATAATACAGAAGACACAGGACAGTCATCACCCAGGTCTGGGTGGCCACTCTGGGCAGGGCAGGGCAGAATTGCCACGGCTCCCTCTTAGCTGTCATTTATTGCTTAGAATAAAGGCTTTCAAATGCACAGCCCTCGTTTTTAAAAGAAATTTGGTTCTGCTCTCTATTTATTATTTAGTTTCTGTTTCCACATAGTATTTAATGGTCTCTGGAGGAAAAAAAAATATTTTGGCTCAAGACTTTTTGTTTTCTGATTAAGTCTGTGGCATAAGCCCCCAGAGGACAACAGGAACTAGTGAAGGTCAGCAGCCACCGGTCAGGACAGGGCAGGGCCGCAAGCTGGGGACAGGCCACCCGGGCAGCGCCCACGCAGCTCCCAGACCCCCAGCCGACCCCCAAAGGGTTACCTCAGCAGGGCCTTGACTCCCGTACACCGGATGTCGTAGGACACCGAGTACATCTCATACATGGTGGCCTTCACGTTGAGGCAACCAATGACGTCCTTGGGGTTCAGCTTGTACAAGTCGAAGGTGACTCTTGCTATTCCCGCCTTCTTTGGCTGCTGGAGAGCTGAGACATAGTTGCCACCCTAGAACCAGTAAGGGAGGGAGAGACTTGAGGGGCCTCTCCAGCTGTGACATGCAAATCCCATAATTCTAGGTTTTTGCTAGTTTTGACTGTGCTGGCTTAAAATCTGTTAGTGACTGAGCTGCTATTTACTTGAGGCCTGTTTTCAGCAGATCAATATGCTCCTATTGCTACCGTGTCCAAACCCACAAGAAACTAGCCTTCCCTAAGCTACTTCCAGTTTAGTGACTTGGGATGAGTGCAGTTTGGCTCCGGGGCCCAGACTGTAGGATGGCTGTGCTACTGGCATGAGGTACTGAGCACATCCAGCCCGGTCACTTAGGGCCACCCGTGGTGACTTGACTGACGTGGACGATCTCATGAATATAGCTTGGTCTGCTTAAAGAGGAGTGGGCAGCTATTTCCATTTTACAAGAGGCTGCCTGGCAGGAAGCTTCAGAATCAAGTAGCTAAAGCAAGGGCCAGGGTGAGAACTTCCGAGGGCTGCCTCTGTTTTCTAGTCACCACCCTGGATGAACGCAGACCTCCTGGGGATATGGAAAGCTGTTTGGTTACAAATGCCATGCAGGTCCTCCTGGAATATCAGTAGACCCTTCAGGTCAGGGGAGAAAGCCAGAGACCTCTGTCAGTCGTTAGGTTTACAAAGAGCTTGAGACGATCTTCCCCACAGAATGTTTTGGAAAAAGCAAGAAGGGAACCAAGTTGTGCCAGGGGTGACTCTCCCAAGGGCTGGCTCCATACACGGATCTTGCGGTATTCAGGATTCAAAGGTACTACGTCTCAGGAACTCTTGGGGTTGGGAGTAGTTGAGGCTAGAACTGTTAAATTCACCAATGACAACAATGACTATGTGAAGGTAAAACATAAATTCCCCTAAAAGCACCCAAACTCTTCTTGCTGGAGCCACACTTCTCTCCTCCCACACAGGACAATACGCAACAAGAGATTCTGGTGGTAGCCTGTTGTTTAATGCACAAGAGGTCCTGCTGCCTCTTTAGGGGGTATTAACCGTCCAGCATTTAGGAGACATTACTATTATTACTTCTTAAGTAGTGTGGAGCCCAACAGGGGCTTGAACTCATAACCCTGAGATCAAGACCTGAGCTGGGATCAAGAGTGGGACACTTAACTGACTGAGCCACCCAGGCACCCCTAGGAAACATTATTTTTTAAAAATTAAGATTATATATGAGGGGCGCCTGAGTGCCTCAGTCGTTAAGCATCTGTCTTCGGCTCAGGTCGTGATCCTGGGGTCCTGGGATCAAGCCCCACGTTGGGCTCCCTGCTTGGTGGGGAGCCTGCTTCTCCCTCTGCCTGCTGCTGCTCCCCCTGCTTGTGCTCTCGCTTTATTTATTTATTTGACACAGAGAGAGAGACAGCGAGAGAGGGAACACAAGCAGGGGGAGTGGGAGAGGGAGACACAGGCTTCCCCGCTGAGCAGGGAGCCCGATGCGGGGCTCGACCCCAGAACCCTGGGATCGTGACCTGAGCCAAAGGCAGACGCCTAACGACTGAGCCACCCAGGCGCCCCAAATAAAATTTTTTTTAAAAAGAAGACACTGAATGAAAAAGAGGGTTTTTTACCTAAAATCCGGCCACTGTTCTTTCTCACTGCCTCATGTTCCTTTCTGACGTATGGAAGTTTGTACCTTATTCCCCCTAAAAGTCATCCTTAAGATTGGGTCTTAAATCAAAATCAAGCCCTCACAAGCTCGGTGGTGACATGGATTTCTCCGATCTGCTGGCCCAGGAAGGAGAAATGATCGCCACACCACCTGGTCCTACGGCCCCCTCCCAGGCCTCCCAGCACTCAGACTGAAGACGGGCGACCCCTGGCGGCTACTTCTTGGCAGGCCGTTCTTGTTGGAGTTAAATACAACTGGCCTCACTGATAAAAAAACAAACAGACAAAAAACACACATCTACAAAGGGGTAGGATCTTATCATCAGCTCGGAGGTGCCCATTTCCACTGGAGGGAAGATGGTTGAAAGGCCTAAGTCAAGAGAAGACATCGACCTCAAGTCGCTGGTCAAGCAGGCTGTTAGGGGCTGTGAGGCCTCCCGCCCCCTTGAACACACCAGCCCACAGGATTATTTGTGCCCACGGCCTCTCAGCGCCCTCGCTCTGGCTCAGTCTCCCGGCGCCCACCCGCGCTGAGGGCCCACGAACCCAGTGTCTGTTATAAAAACAAACACAAACTGCCCTTCCCTTCTGAGCTAGTTTCCTGTTGCTCTTGTAACAAATTACCGCAAACTCAGTGGCTTGAAACAACAGAGACTTAGACCATAACAATCTGGAGGTTGGCAGGCCACAGTGAGCCGGCAGAGATGTTCCTTCTGGAGGCTGCCGGGGGAGACGGGGGCCCCCTTGCTTCTCCAGCTTCTGGAGGTGCTCTCGTTCCTTGGCTCCTCACATCTCCCCTCCTCTTTCCCTGCTTCAGGCCCTCACTCTGACCCTCCTGTCCCTCTGTAAGGACCCTGTGATGGCACAGGTCCCCAGGTTATCCAGGCCTATCTCCCCAGCTCAAGATCCTTAACTTAACCACACCCGCTAGGTCCATTGGCCAAGTACAGGAACACCTTCATGGACTCCAGGGGTTAGGATGTGGGCATCTTTGGGAGGCTGTTATTCTGCCCACAACATCTTTCTCAAACAAAAAGTAGTCCAGCTCAAGACTGCCTTTTAAGAGATTTGTCTAATTCACCCTATGCTCTTCCAATCCAGCAGTAGCCCTTCCACCCCAGTTGTGGCCACTAGAAATGTCTTTGGATACTGCCAAATGCCTCTCAAGGGGTAAGACTGGCCCCAGTTGAAAACCTCTGCTTGATGGATATCTATAGAGTCTATTGAAATCCACCTAAACAAAAGCTATTTGGGGTCATCACTCATTTTTAAGAGTGTAAAGGGGTCCTGAGGTAAAAAATTTGAAGATCACTTGCTTACTGGATTATTCTGATATTTTCACTCAACCGAGTTGATGAGATTCATCCATAGAGATACCTATAGTTGTACATCCTGCGTTCTCACAGCCGAAGACTGTTCCATCCAAGGGACAGACACTGCAGTAGTTATTTATGTGATTGACATAGAAGCTCATGGCTGGGTATCTGCGTGCTGGGTGTATGTCTAGGAGAGGGCTGGCTGGGTTTAGGAGGTGCTTCAATTCTACGGGATAAAGGCACACCGTTTTAAACAGCTGCTGGTGGGAGTGTAAAGAGTTCATTGCTCCTTATCTTTAAAAAAAATGGAAAGCCTAATAATACAAAATCTAATGATGATGAAAAAGAGTATCTTATTGTGGTCCTATGTTTTCCTAATCACCAGTGAGGTTGAAGATTTTTTCCTATATTTTATTGTCCATTCTGCAGATACCTGTCCCTGTTTTTTGCCCATTTTTCTATCAGATGGTCCATTGTTTCCATAACTGATTTCTGTGATATTCCTAAATTTATCAAATACTAATCCTTTGTTGGATTATGTTGAAAACACCTTGTGCCCACTTGTGGCTTACTGGTTTACATACTTAATAGTATCTTTTGATGAACAAAATTCTTAATGAAATTTAATTTATCATTTAAAAATGATTTATGCATTGTCTTGTTAAAAAAAAAAACAACACCCTAAGGATGTCAAACATACATGAGACCTTCTCAGTCATGTCTCCAACTTCCATCATGCTTTCCACCTCTACCTTCTTGTGCTACATCATGGAACCTTCTTGAGATGTATCTTCAGTGCTGCCTGTCTCCATTTACTTTAATTGCCAGAAATTCTATTTGATTCTTTCAAGACTACCTAGTCCTTTCTGATTACCTCTTGTCCTGTCTTACTTTTGATTACCTTTTATATTTCTTTGGGCATTTTAAATACACTTTTTTATACTCTCTATCTCATGATTCCAACATCTGAGGTCTTTGGAGGTCTGACTTCATTATTTCTGCTTACTCTCACACACAGTGCCTTAAGTCCTTACATTCTATGATCTGACTGTGAACTCACATTTGTTGGAACTTAATGGAAACTATCTGATGTCTGGATCAATGCTCGTTCTGAGGCTATTTGCTCCTACTGGTTACATGGGGACACAATCAACCCCAGCTCACTGGGGCTGGACGGAGGGACCAGTTGAGCAAAGAGAACTCAATGGATAAACTCCTTCCATCGATGCTTCCCTCCCCAGCGCTCGGGAAACTAAACTCTCAGCTTGAATGTTTTTGGAATTAAGAGTCCTTAAAACCTCATGCAGGCAGTTTGTGTTTATAGATTCTTAGGAGAGAACTTTAAGATTCTCTGCTTTATGTGGGCATCTCTAATCTGGCCCCTTACCTTGTGTCAGCCCAAGACTTTGTCTCCTGTCCTGTCAGCACCTGTCAAAACTGCAGCCCTTAGTCACCGACGTGAGTGGATGGCCACAGGTGAGACGCTCACAGGTAAGCTGCTTCTCTTGATTCTGGCTCCCAGAAAAGTTTTGGCCTCTGAGGATTTTCCCTTCTTGAAGGTCAGTAAGCATATAAGATATGTTTTAATATTTTGCTTTACACTTTTAAGTGTTTTATAGTGGGATCCAAGATATATATAATCTGTAGTTTTCCTGGATATAGAAACCTTTATTCAACTTCTTTACTTTTCTAAATCACTGTACATTCACACACACACACACACACACACACACATACACACACACACATCCCTACTTAACTTCACTGGCTATGTTAGCTTGCTGGCCTCCTCAGGACAGAGACTGGGAATGGTCACCAGATCACATCTGCGCACTTTTAACAGGATCTGTAGCTCCTTACTGGCCTAAACCTGTTCCTCAGAATTATTTGCTTTAAAGCTGGTGCGGCCACTCTGGAAAACAGTATGGAGGTTCCTCAAAAAGTTGAAAATAGAGCTACCCTATGACCCAGCAATTGCACTCCTGGGTATTTACCCCAAAGATACAGATGTAGTGAAAAGAAGGGCCACATGCACCCAATGTTCATAGCAGCAATGTCCGCAATAGCCAAACTGTGGAAAGAGCCGAGATGCCCTTCAACAGACAAATGAATAAAGAAGATGTGGTCCATATATACAATGGAATACTACTCAGCCATCAGAAAGATGATACCTTGGGCGCCTGGGTGGCTCAGTTGGTTAAGTGACTGCCTTCGGCTCAGGTCATGATCCTGGAGTCCCGGGATCGAGTCCCACATCGGGCTCCCCGCTCAGCGGGGAGTCTGCTTCTCCCTCTGACCCTCTTCCCTCTCGTGCTTTCTATCTCTCATTCTCTCTCTCTCAAATAAATAAATAAAATCTTTTAAAAAAAAAAAGATGAAACCTTGCCATCTGCAACAACATGGATGGAGCTAGAGGGTATTATGCCAAGCAAAATAAGTCAGTCAGAGAAAGACAATTATCATATGATCTCACTCATATGTGGAATTTAAGAAACAAAACAGAGGATCATAGGGGAAGGGAGGGAAAAATAAAACAAGACAAAATCAGTGAGGGAGACAAATCATAAAAGACTCTTAATCATAGGAAACAAACTGAGGGTTGCTGGAGGGGAGGGGCGTGGGGGAATGGGGTAACTGGGTGATGGACATTAAGGAGGGCACCTGATGCAATGAGCACTGGGTGTTGTATGCAACTGATGAATCACTGACCTCTACCTCTGAAACTAATAATACACTATATGTTAATTAATTGAATTTAAATTAAAAAAAGAATTATTTGCTTTAAATTATATAGCCCCTAGGCTTATTAAGATGCTAAGTTTCCTAGAAATACTTTAAAGCAACCTGTTGAGGGTGGCAGATCCAGTTATTAGGTGAACACAAGGTATATATTTAGAAAGAGGGCAAGACAACACCAAACTAGGGAATGCACTTTCGTGCGTAAAAAGTCTGCTAAGCCTGCTTCTCCCTCTCCCATTCCCCCTGCTTGTGTTCCCTCTCCCGCTGTCTCTCTCTCTGTCAAATGAATAAATAAATGAATAAATAAATAAATAATAAACTCCTGTTTAAAAAAAAAAGTCGGCTAAGTGTTTTTGCTTACCGGTGTCCACTTCTGCCCTTTCTCCAAGATCATGAAATGGGTGTTGTCTTCTAAGGTCTGAAAGAACTCTTCGGTATCCACCACGGTTCCGTCTTCTTCCAGCACCAAATTGACTAGTCCGCTGGTGATAACTAAGGCTTCCAGCGTCTAGATTGGCAACGCGTCAGAGACATGGAAGAAAGCAGGAGATTCCATTTTGACCACTCAAAGCCACTGATTAAGTTATAGTTTCAGAAGTACTGTCTGATCTTGCTAAAATTTTAGTGGTAAAGATCTACCTTCACTGGGTCTATGACTTAGTCTTTGCCTGGAAAAAGAGAAGTGCAGATTTTTAATGGATCTATCTTCTTCAGAGATTTCAATGACATGAGACAAATGAAGACACTGGGTAATAGCTACAGTTTCTAAAATTACTTATTTTGACAAATAAAATGAATAATGCAGCAACACGATAAAGAGCCTTAGTCTCATGTCCCATATTTGAACATCTCTTTTGCTATAGGGTCTGCATGTGGGATGCTCATTTATTTCCATGGGTGTCTTTGTCTGGGTTATGCCTCCATAACCCAACTCCAGACTCCAGAAAGTCTGTGATTCTTCCTTATTTGGTGATCTAGGACACTGTTTTAGATTAAGGACTATTCTTCCCTGGGCTTTATAACTGAAAACAGATTTCCAAAGCCTGCTGCTTCCCTGTATTCTTCCTTGTCAAAGAAGAAAGGCTACATTATCAGTTGATGACTGTTTTTAAGGCCTTTGTTTCTGCAGCTAAATCTTTTATGGTACAGAGAAGCGATAATGTTCCCTTTCATATTTTTCTTCTCCCCTTAGAGTCTCTGATGCCATGACAGTGACATTTCTGTCTCTGCACTGGGTTAGGACTCAAGACCAGAGCCCCATGTGTGGTCAGGGGCCCTCCTGCGAGTGGTGGGGAGGCGCTGTGGCTCCTGGCACCTTGCTGAGGAGCTCCTTCAGACTGTTGGCCATCACCCCTCGCCGGCTGCTTCTGTCATGGTTGGAGACCCGGAAAGGGCGAGCCGAGTGCATGAGGGGAGTTAGTAGGACTCTCTTGGTCTGTGATCCCATAAACGTCAGGGGCCTGGAAATGGAGGGGAAAAGTAAAAATATCTTGGACATTATCTTCAAAAAAGAGTCTTTAAAGAGAGGTTTGAAGTACACAAAATTAAAACAATTTTAATATTTGCATCTGAAAGAAAGAAAATCAATAGTTGGGGATTATTGAGAATTTTATATATATACACATATATCCTGATATCCAAAAAACAAACAAGTTTATATATATATATATATATATATATAATTAAAACACAACCATTATATTATTATACCTATTTTACTGGAACATTCAAAGTCCTTGTAGTAACTACGTGAGAAAGAAATGGTAAGGGTATCGAACTCAAACAAGAACTAAGAATTCTATGCTGCAAACATGGCTTTTACAGCTGAAAAAAATCTTTAAAAAAAAAAGAATGGCCAAAAAGTGGCCAAGCAGAGTTAAAGAATTAGGTACACATGCACAAAAGTTACATATTGTACAGTAAGACTAAGCCAGGAATTGAAAAGCCAGATATTGGTCACTAGAGCAATAAACTAATTTTTAGAAATTAACTTAGAATAAATGAGGAACAACAGAACACTATAATAATTGTGGTTGGAATAACAAGAAGGAAAAGAACTTTGGGCCATACGTTACACGACACTTTGGAGTAAGTTCCACATCTAACAAAGAATTCAAAATTTCACTATTAAAAAAACTAACATGGAGAAGGAAAATAACTAACAAAACCAAATCAAGACAATTTTCTGAGGAAAATAATCTCCAACCCTTGATTATCAAATTTTAGTTACCTGCAAATACTATACACACACACACACACACATATGTACATATATAGTACAAATACACACACATATATATAATGGGGATAAACGAGAAGCTCGCAGCTTTAGTAGTTATTTAACAAACACTTTTGTTTTTAAAAATTTTATTTTTAAGTAATCTCTACACCCAACGTGGGACTCGAACTGACAACCCCGAGATCAAGAGTTGCAGGCTCCACTGACTGAGCCAGCCAGGGCCCCAACATTTGCTTTGTAAATATTAATTCACTTAATCCTCAGAAAACTCTGTGATATAGTCCTGATTTTCTCAATTTACAGATGGGGGCAATCAGGCCAGAGAGGTGTCCCGCAGCTGGTAGGAACCAGAGCTGGGATTATGACCCAAGCACCTGTTCTTGGCCTCATAAAGGTTTATCTAGATGCCTCACACTAAAGAATAAGACAAGTTTGCATATTCGGGAACATACGAGGCTTTCGATAGCAATTAAAGAAATGCAAAGCCACCTCTGACATACTACCGCATGCTTTTAAACAAACATGCAAGGAGTTATTTTAAACTAACTCCGTAAGGAGAAACAGATGCTCCTTGCCGTGGCACTAGGCAGGGCTTCAGTCTCCTTGGAGACCAGTCTAGCAATGTGTAGTTTTCACCCAGGACTAGGGGCTGTTTTATATTTAGGAATATATCCATAAAGAAATTATTTAAAAGAATATAAACAGGGCGCCTGGGTGGCTCAGTCGTTAGGCGTCTGCCTTCGGCTCAGGTCATGATCCCAGGGTCCTGGGATCGAGCCCCGCATCGGGCTCCCTGCTCCGCGGGAAGCCTGCTTCTCCCTCTCCCACTCCCCCTGCTTGTGTTCCCTCTCTTGCTGTGTCTCTCTCGTCGAATAAATAAATAAAATCGTAAAAAAAAAAAAAGAATATAAACGTAAGTTAGCAACGTGTCAGGTAGCTCGTTTCATGTCAGGTGCTGTGATAAGTGACACATGACCTCATTTAATCTCCGCAGCTCCTGAGGTAATAGCACCTCTAGCTTCACTCTCCCCACACCTGAATGGTGACTACCGATTTCAGGTGCTCAAATAGTTGTGGACAATGTGGACAAATAGTCTGTACAGTGACTTCAGGAGAATGAAACAAAGGGCTTTATTTTTAGGGCAGACTTGTAGAAGATACAAAGTGAAGACATCACTGCTTTCTGACACTCATAAAAGCTTGTCTAGATTAACCCTATGAAAGCTAAAATTCTAGAGACTTCTGTACTTTTTGTGAATGCCTATTGCCCAGGATTTGGTACTTTATTTTATACATATACATACACACATACATACATACCTATAATATACTGTCATATATTTATCTATGCTTTATTTTCCCAACCAGATTAGAATTTCCTTATGGACAAAAGCTTCTCTGTTATATCTCCCATAATGCCTAGACTAGCACTAGGCATATGTGTTTTAAGTAATATGTGGTCTAACTTGAAGCTCTACAAATGGACATAGTGAAAATTCAGTGGTTTACCAAGTAATTTTTTTTTTTCCTTTTAAGATTTTATTTATTTATTTGACAGAGAGAGACACAGCGAGAGAGGGAACACAAGCAGGGGGAGTGTGAGAGGGAGAAGCAGGCCTCCCGCCGAGCAGGGAGCCCGATGAGGGGCTCGATCCCAGGACCCCGGGATCATGACCTGAGCTGAAGGCAGATGCTTAACGACTAAGCCACCCAGGCGCCTCCTACCAAGCAATTTTCTATATGAAAAACCGATAGTATAGTAATGAACCAGTTCTCAAAAATTGTCAGGTTAAGTTCATGCTCGTAGCACGATCAGCCAGTTTCAGCAAGGTTTCCATAATAGTGAGTGTCTGCAACTTATCCCTCTGCCCTGGCAACAAATTGGAGTTCTAGGAATCAGGCCTGCACTGTTAGCATGGATTTGATCTGAAGAGTATTCAGCCAGCTTCACATCAGCGCGTCCTAACTGCTCACATCCGAGCCCTCACTACGGCCAGCTTGTGCTTGCTCTTAACATGTTAACTAATCATCATCACAACTTTATAGGGAAAGTATCACCCCATTTCTCAGATGGGAAAACTGAGGCTCAGAGTGATTTCTCCAGGTCACTCACTTAAGAAGGAAAAGACAGGTCCTTTCCCTTCTAGGCTGGCAAAATCTATGCATTATTTATTCCTAGTGAGGCAACTGTAAGGGGATTGTGCCCGGTTACTGACCTCTGATTCAGGTGCCCCATTAGATTGAGCAGAGACCCAAGGAGTGAATCCAAGCCTTGAACTGACACAGTGGTGAGGCCAGCAGACAGCCTCCAAACTTTTGCCCTGATTACAAGACATTACACCAGGTTCTTCAGTTACACAACCCGATGAACAAGATGCCTACATTCTGCTGAGCTGATGCTGCAGAGAACCCACTCACAGTTCCATCTCCGGCAATTTGGTGGGCTGCGCAGTGAGGATTTTCCATATTACGTTTTACATTTAGGATCGGGCTTTGGTGGCAACCTACTCATGGCTGCTGAAACTTACAACTCCCGGGGGAAGTTCCTGTGAGGAGGAGAGAAAGATACTAGTTCCACTTAATGCCAGACACTGGGCACATCAGTGCTTTACTTAACAACTTGACAAGACAGGCGTGTCAGATGAGCAAAAGTGAGGCTCAAGAGGTTAGGAAATGAATAACATCAGAGTTAGCAAGTGTGAGAGCAGGGGTTTGAGTCCAGCTCCCACTTTTGCACCACGGTGTCAGCCCTACAAGGGTGAAAACCCTCCTATGGGACAGGCAACCCTGGACCCTCTCTGGCAAGAGCCTCTCTTCTCCCCACAAAGCAGGAAATCATTGCCATGAACCAGAAGTCCTTCTAGAATCCGTACTCACTGAGGCCAGGGTCTGTCTGTACATTTTCTGACTTCCCCACAACCCCTAGCCTACTGTTGTCACGCAATCTATTCACTGAGTAAAAGACAGGCTAGAACAAGATCAGAGAAATGGGAGAACAAAGTTCATGTCCTGGAATCTTAGGTCCAGGAGCCAGAGGCCAATGGCACACCTTGTGGGCACGAACAGCTTTGACCTAGTTAGTTGTGGTCTTGTACCTCCTCATTGGATGCCAACATTCACGCCTTAGGAAGCACCAGTGCTCTAGTTACGTAGTAGAGGTGATTATACAGAGTCCTGATTGTCTTTTAACTTCGGACAAGATAAGGGCTGGCAGTGATCTCTGGTCCTCCCTCTCCACGCTGCCCTCAAGATAGCCATCCTCAATTAAAAAAGTCCATGTTCTTCTTACCCATTACTTTTCCTAACTGGGAACTGGGTCGTTGTCGGAGAACAGGTTTACGGAGCGCACCTCAAAAAATCCTCGGAAAATTAAATTAAATTAAATTTATTTAATTAATTTATATAAATTACATTAAATTAAATCCTTATATTCCTTTTAAGGAACAGGATGAGTGATTTGATGTATCAAATTATATAAAATTGAGACTCTCTTATGCATAACATAAAAAGGGGTTAAATGAAATTTTATGTACATTAAAACTATTTAACAATTGTTATAGGAGTATTTACTTTGCTCCAGCTAAAGGGGCAGTGGGGTTAACTAGCTAGCTAAATGAACAAAGCATCATATTGATCCAACTCACTCCTGGTCCTCCTAAGAGGATAATCTATGTCACTGGCTATCAGCACAATGCCTAAAACGTGTTGCTATTCTCCCCTTAATATTTTAATATATCAGAGTCGAGACAGGAGCTCTGAGAAGCCTTGGATTAGATACATCACACGTCAGTCACCCTCTAATTCCTGGGAAAGTGCAAACAAGCCTACGAAGCAGGAAGGAAACAGCTCACTAAAAGGAAAAGAAAAACCAGGAAACAGGTTATTCAAGGAAATAGATTGTTTCAGGGAAATCAAGACAAAAAGAGAAGTCAGACTTCATAGAACATTCTTAAAACTGGGAAGGGGCATATCTCCCAGAAGTGAGGAAAACAGAGAAATCTTTGTATTTTTCCCGGAGGGAACTGAGGAGGCTCAACTTATAACAGTGTGGCAAATGAAGCAAGGAGCCACAGACTGTGGGCAGATGTGAGCTTTACTCCAGGAAAATGAAGCTAGCCCCCGCAGAGCATAAAAAAATCATGTTTTTATGCCACCCAATGGACTGATGTTTCTTCCAAAAGTGGAAGGAGGGGAAAGGGGCAGGCCTGGGAACAAAGTTTCCCCCAGAGAGAAATATTTTGGGGTCAGCAGTGATGAGGTGGCTCTGTAAGGCCGTGTAAGCAACTCCCTGGGGAACATCCCGAATGAAATGAATGTTTCAGTGTCTGAGCAGCCCATCTTCTTGTTAGGTGGAAAGGAGGAACCCACCTGAGAGTAAGTCAGTGCGGACATGCGTAGGCAAGTCAACCAAGCAAGTGCTACCACCAAAGCCTGGGGACAATGAGGACATCAGGGAGAGAAGCGGTGATGTCCAATACAGCAGTGCAGAGAGACAGACAGGATTGAAAAGCGGACATCAGGCCTGGCTGGATCTGGGCAAGCAGTAGGGACAGTGTCGGGGTCTAACTCAGTGGCCGCAGCTGGAGGAGTGTCGGCCTCAGCGATGTTTCCCGCTCCCCAGCAGTGCCCGAGCCTCCTTATGGGCTTACACACATGGGACACCACGGCCCCACAGGGACTGTGCCGGCTCCCGTTTGGGCCTTGACCAACCTATCAAAATGCTTGATGCAGTAAGAGGACTCAGTGTATGACCATGAAGTCTTTGGACACTTTGAGATGTTATTAAAATAACAGTTTAGGGACGCCTGGGTGGCTCAGTCATTAAGCGTCTGCCTTCGGCTAAGGTCACGATCCCCAGGGTCCTGGGATCAAGCCCCGCGTCGGGATCCCTGCTCAGTGGGAAGCCTGCTTCTCTCTCTCCCACTCCCCCTGCTTGTGCTCCCTCTCTCACTGTGTCTCTCTCTGTCAAATAAATTTAAAAAATTTAAAAAAATAATAAATAAAATAACAGTTTAGACCCACAAAGGAGTGAGCGTCGGTAATCGGGGAGATTTACTTGTAGCAAATGCAATTCCTTGCTTATGTCACTAGTAAGAAGGTGGTGAAATGTGTCCTGAAATGCCAGCTACACACAACCTAGAGATCCTTGTTCAAGGAAAGGAAAGCTGTACCAAATAGCAACAAAAGCAGCAATTTTACGCCCAGTATAATATCTATCAGCTCTGTAACAACTTCAAGGTCGGTGTGAATGCTCTCGCTCACCGACAGACACAAAGGCTGAGCAGCTTTGTCTATGACCACACATGCCGGTGTGGGCATCCTTGATGTCCAGAGCTTTGCTAAGAGACCTCAGGCTGCTTGCGCCTTGACTATGGTCTTGAGGGATCACAGACGATTAACAAACTAATGACTGGTTTAAGACTTTAGAATTGCTGACCTTAATAAAAGATGTGTATGTGGATTAAATTATTTCTTTGGCAAAAGGCAGTCATCTACTAATGAAAGACAGAATTAGGGCCATCTAGGTTAAATTAAGGAACACGGAGGAGACAGTAGCAAGACTGTAACTAACAAATGTGGCGATCACCTAGTCTGTGGCTCACATGGGTCTTCAGCCTGGACATAATTCTAAAGAAGGACAGGGAAGAGAAGTGTTTTCCTTTCAACAAGCATTACGCATTGTTTTTCTTCCAGTTTATTTTGGAAGCAGGTAGATTTTTTTTCAAAGAACTGCACAGTGTGTCCCTAACAAATGGTCACTCACTTTTAGAGTTTGCCAAGCTCAGAAGAATGTGTCGAGTAGACCTTCCCTATGTTTTGATTTGCCAACATTTCACAAGCAAGTCCCCTCCATACACACTTGACCCAATGGAAACCTCACACCGATGCATTTTGGATCTGCGTAGCCTGTTGTAGGAACCGGGTGAAAGGGCAGGGTCCGCGGGCATCGCCTGCTCCAGGCAACCCCAGCTAGGAATTAGTGCCTACTTACCAGTCCTTAAACCTCAGCCTGCCACCTCCCTAGGGCTCACAAGAAGTTGCAGAATGGGTGTGTTTGCATATTTGAGAATTGCACTCCAAACTGTCAACAGCTGTTACCCCCTGGAGCGGGATTGTAAGGGGGGTGGGGGAGGAGAGGAACAAAAAAGGAAAGAAACCCAAGGCTTTACCTTTATGCTTACATGTGTTATTGAAGATGCATGAAACAAGTCTGTTTCTCACCCTCCCTGGTTCTTACTACTTGACTTCTGGTTTTGGGGGATTTTTTTGTTTGTTTAAAGAGAAAGCCCGTGCTGTTCAGACAGACCATCTTTACATTTTGGAAGCTATTTTTCTAACCTTGAGTTAGAAATTTGCACACAGCAAATTCAGCCCCCTATAGATCACACTACTTTTGTAAAGTGACGCTCCCTGCCATCCTTCCCTTTCAACCTACCCTGTCCCTCTGCCCTTTGGTACAAATGGGATCAGTCACCTCTGAAAACCTGCATTTTAAAGAACTCAAGGGCTTTTCTATCCTTTCTGAGGTACTTTGAAGATCTTCAAAGAAGCACTATCCCTTCCATAAATCTATATTTAAAAATTACTTCCATGCAATATTTGGATTTTATTAACAAGGACAGGTTTGGGTATGTCAAGATACTGATGTGGGAAACAAAAGCAGAAAAGAAATTATTAAATTTCCTTACTACCTACAGCCCATTGACAAGTCCTTGAAACAGGCAGAGTGACATTCCTCTAGGGACTCAACTGCCTCAATGTTAATACTTGGCTAAGGGCAAAAGACAATCCTAGCCCAACCCCCCCCCCACCTCCCCCAGGATCCTGTAAGTCTACTTTAACATACAAAAATTCCTTTGGAAACTTCCTTTAGCTCTACCACCCAAGATACATGTTATCAATCATGCCCCAAGCATATGATGCACCCATATGCATCTGAAGGGTCTCATGATTGAATTTCTACTAAACAGTAATAAATGACCTTTCCTAACAATAGCTAGCCCCCCTCAGGATCCTGGGAGGCTTACACTATCCCTAACCCCCCTCCCAACTTGAAAGTATAAAATGGGTCACTCCTCATGATCCTCAGCTCTTTCTGTCCCTGTGCTTTAATCAACCTTTTTGCATCAAAGACCTCTCTAGAATTCTTTCTTGGCCGTAGGCTTCCAACACTAACGTTCTTTCCTACATCAATATGAAGATGAACGGAAGCTGGGTTGGGGTGAGGGTCAAGTGCTGCGGTGCCTTCAAGCCCCCAGAAGGGTGCAAAGCCCCCGGAGAGGGGATAAGACTCCGCATGCGTCCCTGGCAGGGAGGGCGCTCTCGGACGCGGCGAGGAGGGGGAGCCTTCTCCCCAAACACCCCCTTACAAGCCTGGGTGGATTCATCAAGCAGGGGTCAGGGCGTATTCAGAGCCCAAGGGGTGCTCTCGGCTCAGCCCACCCTCCCCTTGGAGCTCAGAGCCTCCCTCGTCTTTAGGGGTAAGCCTGGACCATCCCAAAGCTGCCCAGTGTCCCCACCAGCGCCCCAGCTCCTGTTGCGATCCCGAGGTACCCTAGAAGCCCTGTACCCGCGCACCGTGGAGGCGTTGCCCGGGTTTCCCAGGACGGGGGCTCTCGAGGATCTGCACCGGCGGATGCAGCAGCAGGAAGAAATTCAGCCACTCCCGTACTCACCACTGTCACCTGTTCCGCGGATGCCCGCGAACCTCGGGAGAGCCACACCTGGCACCTGCGGCCAGCTGGAGGAGGGGAAGGAGACCCGCGGCGGGCTCGGGCTCTGCCCACCGGGGCTGCCCGAAGGCGTGCGCACCAGAGGTGCTGCTGGGTGCGTAGGCTGGGACGCGACCTCGGGCAGCTCCGGCTCGCTGTGCGCAGGGGGTGCCGGGGGACCCCGGGCGCAGGGGAGACGAGGGGCTCACGCAGGTGCCAGACACACGGGGATGCAGAACGCTCAGGGCGTGGGGGGGGGGGGGACACCGGGCTCAGGTGGGACGCAGAGTGCCCAGGCACAGGGGTATGTGTGGCGCGGGGGTGCGGGACGCTCCGGGATGCGGGGTGCATGAGGTGCAGGGAGACGCGGGGCGCAGAGGGGACGAGGGGCCCAGGGGGATGCGGGGCGCCGGAGGACGGGGGGCGCTGGCGTGGCCCTGAGCCGGGCTCGCGCCGCACTCGCCTGAGGAGGGCTCCGGCGTAGTCGCGGGCGGTGTCCATCGCCAGGGTCCCCCTCACAGGCTCGGCTTCGTCCCGCCCGCGCCCTCTTAAAGCCCAGCCGCCAGCCCCGCCCCGGGCCCCGGCCGGCGGGTCCGCCCCGCCTACAGGCAGGACCTTGACAATGGGCTCACCCCTGCCGGAGGTCGCGGCGTGGCCTTCTGGGAGCGCGCCCGGGTCCGTGCCACCTCGGGGCCCTACGGGGAAGGCGGCTCTCGCAGCCCGCTGCAGAGGACGGTCCCCACGACTCGCGACCCCCAGCTGCCCCACGGGTCCCCTGATGGTCACTGTTAGTCTATGTTTGCCTTGCGCGTTCTGGGAGTTGGGAGTCACTGGCGACATCACCAGCGGAGGCAGCGTGGCTTTTTGAAAAGGCAGATGTGTTGTTTTCAAACCCAGGCCCCGCGGGGAGAGGCCAGGGAGGGGGAGATGAGGCGCAGGATGAGTTACCCCCAGAGCCGCGCTGGGTTGACGCCCAAACTGCAGCCCACGACGTCCGGCTCCAAGCTCAGCAAGCCAGTTGGCAAGGTGAGGAGGTTGCTGCGGACACCAGGACACATAGCCCTTCAGGTGCTTGGGGGAAACTTGGCTCGCTTCCTTTTAGGTTGCTTCACTGCTGTATCATGGGCATTTGGGGGCAGTAGGAAGGGTATTCAGAACGGAGGGATAAAGGAACCGCTGGACTGTGTTAACAATCTTTTAGCTCTAGGTAAGAGACTTTCTCAGAGTGAAGAAGGCAAGGGAAAAACAAGCCAGCGCGGAGGGGGATTTTGTTCGGGTCCTGATGCCACAAATAACCGTCCCAGAAGAGGCACTCTGGCTTGTTTTAGACCTCAGGAGGGGGCAGGGAGCCTGTCAGGGATTCCACAGAGCCCTTACCTACAAAACCAAAGCAGAAGTCTCTTGTGTGTGGGCGCCTGGGTGGCTCAGTTGGTTAAGCAACTGCCTTCGGCTCAGGTCATGATCCTGGAGTCCCGGGATTGAGTCCCACATAGGGCTCCCTGCTCAGCAGGGAGTCTGCTTCTCCCTCTGACCCTCTTCCCTCTCGTGCTATCTCTCATTCACTCTCTCTCACATAAATAAATAAAATCTTTAAAAAAAAAAAAGTCTCTTGTGTGTAACAGTCCTTTAATTCCAGCCCTTTAAAAAGTGGAAACTTTCGAGGATATAGAGTGGCTAGTGCATACTATCCTGCATGGAGTCGAGTGACTGGCTCCACAGATTATTAGTAACTGCTGATGACCCTGTTATGAGCGGTGTTTCCGAAGAGCTGTGGTCTGACCTGTGCCTCCCTTCTCCTGACTCAGCTCCGTTTTAGCACACTGATCTGGTCACCCAAAACGGCTCCTTCTGTCAGCATTCCTCCATTCAGCTCACAGAAACAAGCTCACACTTCTTCCCCTTTAGGGTCACTGGGGTCAACAAACCTCATTTGACTTGCTTGAAGGGGTGTTGAAGCCAAAGCAATTTCCTTCCAGAGTCCTGGACTCCACAGGGCCTGCTGTGGAGCACAGAGCTGTGTTTTCTGCTCCATGCCACTGGGACTGAGGCTCCTCCCACTGAGACCCTGCTGTGGCTGAATGTTTGTGTCCCACCCCCAAATTCATATATTGAAGTCGTAATGCCCAATGTGATGGTATTAGAAGGTGGGACTTTGGGAAGTTGCTTCAGCCAGGAGGGTGAAGCCCTCACTCGTGGAATTAATGCCTTCTGAAAGAGGTTCCAGAAGATCCCTAGCTCCTTCTGCCGTGGGAGGACACAGCAAGAAGGTGCCGGCTATGAACCAGGAAGAGAGCTCTCACCAGCTCTCACCCTGATCTCAGGCTTCCAGCCTCCAGAACTGTGAGCAATAAATTTCTGCTGTTGATAAGCTACCCATTCTGTGGTATGTTGTTATAGCAGCCCACATGGACTAGAGCAAATCCCTGGTCTGATAGATGAGAATGGGGTCCTGGCAAGTCAACTCAATTCACCTTTTAGAAAACTTTTTATTGTGAAAAATTTCAAATGTAGGGACATATAGCCAGAACGTTATGTGAGCACCCTTACGCCCAGGGCCTGGATTCAAGCACTGCTAACATTTTGACATATTTGCTTGTTATTTATCTGTATCTTTATTGAACCTCTTCACATAAAAGTCTTCAGCTTGCATCTCTGAAGAAACAAGGACCTTCTCACACATACCACAGTGACATTAGCACTCCTAACAAAATAAAAATGATCTCTTAATAACACCTAATAGTCTATAGTCAAGCTCCCCAATGTATAAGGCACTTTTCTTGTGCCTGAGAGACAAATGTATTAGACCTGTTCTGGATCAGTGAAGGTTAAGATCACAGGAGATTCTGACACACCAATAACCAATCAGGGGAATAGGTGCAATTAATTTACATCTTTCTAGGGTCTAGAGAGGCATCTGGATGCTAAGGCACTTAGGGTAGGCTTGTTAAGGACTGATGAATGAATGAGGTGCTATGTTCATGGTAATATGTGAATGCAAATTGCAAAGGGAACAAAATGTTGAGTTCTGCCTGCAGGGTGTCTAGGAAGGGACCCTGGAGCTGAGGCTTGAAGTGTGAGAGAGCATGTGGTACATGGGGGCGCTATCCTGCATTGCTTGGCGTGTCTGGCATCCTGGGTGGGTGTGTGGGGGCTTCTAGAGGTGAACGCCCCGTGACCACTCAGGGCAGCCATGCTGGAGTGAATTTGCACAGCTCCGAACACATAGCCACCACTGCTCTCAGTGGGGAACCAGCAGAGGTGGTGGGGTGACCTGCTCAGACGTAGATCTGAGAAGACCATTCTGGGGTGGCTCAGAAGCCGGACTGGGCCAGGGGGCCTGTAGGTGACCCATGTGACAGACGTCAAGGGCACTGACAGTGTGGGGGAAGGGGGGAGGGGTGGAGAGGGGGCAGGGAACATTTCACAGGACCTGATGATGGACAAAAAGGAAAGTAGCTGGAGAGACTCTGATAAAATTTCGGATCGGATAGCTGGCGAGGCAGCGAAGCCCTTACTGGGAGGAGAAACACAGGAGGGGCAGCAAGGTTGTAGCTGAGATGGACATTATGCTGAAACACACTGGCCCGTGGGCCGTGCCGGGCAGAGATGCAGGGTGGGCCCCTCGGCCCGTGGCCCACACTCAAATGGCCCTCAGGGCGAGGACCCGGCTGGAAGCCAAGGCTGGCCAGCTACCTATCTGCTCCTAAGTGGGGACCTGTGCCATACGAGTGGGTGGGTGGTCCCAGGAGGGTGTGTGGAGAGGGAGTGGAGGGCAGGGGCATGTGTTGTTCCTAAGCATGTGGCGGCCAAGCCCAGGAGACCGTGGAGAAGAAAGTGGGTGAAAGACTGCATGTGCCTGCTGTGAGGAAAGTGCCTTTCTAGCACATTTCCACTGATAAGCTCCTTTCTCAGCCAACATAATTTAATACACCTTTATTTAGCAACTCCCATGTTCCAGTGCAACCTATGTTCCACCAACAGCACATCTGGCCATGCTGCCTAGGCTGGTGATGTCGATTACTCCAACTCCCAGAACACGCAAGATCCGAAATCCAATGTTCTGTGCGGACTTCAGCCTAGCCTGGCCGGACCACGTTCCAGTGCGACCGTGGGCAGGTCACCTAACGTCTCTCAGGCCACAATCTTCATCTGTAAAAAGGTGCAGGGCTCTTTCTCTCATCAGGCCAGAGGGGAGAATCAAGTCCCGTGAGGGAAGGGCTGCCCAGGTGCAGTGCCCGCCAGAGGGCTCTGTCATTGCGGGTGACCAAGGCCACCGTGACACAGGTGACGGCCAGCTGGACTTCTGCTCCCAGCCAAGGGTCAGTACCTGCTATGGAAGCTGGATGACATTATGGAGAACACAGGTGCTTAAAGCTCAGAGACACTTGAGCAAGCATCTAACCCGATTTCGTGTGTTTTACAACAAAGTGGATAAAACAATGAACACTGAGTTGGAACCCTGGACTTGCAACTTCCAGATTCTGTGATTGTGCGCAAGTTTTCCTTGCATTGCTTTTCTTATGAGCTTCACTTTCTTTATTTCTAGTAATCCCTGACCATCTGTATTCCTTACCAACTCTCACGTGGTTGCAGTGAGGGTTAAATGAGATAAGATTTTGAAATACATCGTCAGCTGTCAAGCCCTAGAAAGTGTTAGGTCTTATTATGGCACTGATAAGGCAATTGAGCTCTGGAAAGGTGCTAACTCGAATTCTGTTGACCGCATAACCAGGGCATCTTCTGCAGAACTGTCAGTAAGGCAAAAAATTTCTTTCACTTCCCATAGTCAAAGTGCCCAGTATTCTCCTATTTCCATATTGCTTTCCAGGAAAGCTTACCGTTAGAAAAAAAAAAAATCCCATATATTTACTTATACTAAGGTATAATGATTGCTGTCCCACTCAGCAAACATTTACTGAGCATTGCCCTAGTTATCCCGCACCCCACCCCCAATCCATTCTCTTCTCTTCTTTGCCCAGCCCTGGGCTCCAGGACGCTGACCCTTGGGGTTGCACTAGAGGTGCCTTGCCCTTTGGCTTCCAATTGGTTTCATTAATGGGAGGCACTGGTGGCCTTTCTCTAGAATTAAAAACAACTGTATTGTAAACTCTAATATGCATACAAGAAAGTGCACAGTTCTTTATTGTACGACTCATAGAATTTGTGTGTTTATAAAACACTCAGATCAAGATGAAGAATATTTTGCAACACCCCAGTAGGCTTCCTCTTGCCCCTTCTTGGCAGTACCCCGACCCTCCCACCCACAGTGATAACACTATTTTGGCTTCTATCACTATCACCACAGATGAGTTTTGCATGCTCTTGAACTTCAGATAAACTGAATCCTACAGGATCTTCTCTTTTATACTTGGCTTTATTTGCTCCACCATTTGTCTGTGAAATTCATCCACATCATTGCATAAATCAGTAGTTTGCTCATCTTTATTATAACCAAATAGAATTCCATTATGTATTCCAGTTTCTCTCATTGGGACTGGGCT